GAGAGAGAGAGAGAGAGAGAGAGAGAGAGAGAGAGAGAATATAAAGTTCTGCAGCACCCAGTTTGTGTGTGCATTTGTGTGTGTGTGTGTGTGTGTGTATTGTATTGTAAATGTTTACCACAATATCCCCTGTTCCACCCAGATAAGTAGATCCAAAATCGCAGCAACTTTACCTTTATTGTAGAAGATGAAGCATGCTTGAGATGAATCAATCCAGCATGGAAACAGTGTTGCTTCCATTGTAAGGAACATGAGGCACAATAGAAACATTACCTTTATGCCAGCAATACCTTCACGAGTAGATCCAACATCATAGGAACCTGACCTTTATGCAAGCAATGCAGCATACTTGAGAGGGGGTTACCCAACAATGAGACAGTTAGCAATATGATCAATTATGTCATTTCCTTGAATATATTCATCATTTTTATCATTGGGAGGCCTCCCAGTTTATTTGTTCTTACACACCCCTCTTACTGTGCCTCTCACGTACAAGGCTGGCCACGTTGATGATGGTTAAGCGCCAGCTGCCCACATCCCCGTGTGCCTTAACGACCCACTTGCACGTTATGAAAGGAGGCAGAGTAAAAGGGGTGACTTGTTCTATTTTGTCTGTTCTCTTAGTGACGCACATTCGTATGCGTTTATGAATAGTGCACAAGGAGAGGGAGTACACAAGGGGAGGGAGAGGAAATGGGGTTAGAGAGAGAGAGAGAGAGAGAGAGAGAGAGAGAGAGAGAGAGAGAGAGAGAGAGAGAGAGAGAGAGAGAGAGCATCCACCGTGTGTGACACTGCGTTTGGCTATCAGTGGGTCCAAAACGGGGTCCTGATAATCAGAGATATACGGGACCCCGTCAGAAAAGACTGGCTATCAGTGGAGGAGCTCCGCACCACCATCCAATCAAGGCACTAGATTTGCTGGTCTTCTCAATACCCCTTGACTGGATACGCATTCTGAAAAAGGGCCCCACCCTGACCCAAAGCGATTGGGTGGCCACGAAGAATGACCCAAACAGGGGTGCAAGCTTTGCATGTGGAGTCAATTGGGTACCGGCGAACAGTGGGCCTGGGACTGGAGGGCCCTCCTTTGCAATGCATGGCACCCCATAACAGACAACACCTTCGCCATAAACATGTTTGGGATGGGGGGACGGGCGACCCTCTGGGCCCTATGGAGACAACAACGCACTTTGAAATGGAAGGGGTCAGGCTAGATGGCCCAGAGCTTACAGAAACCATCAACACAACAGCCAGAGACGGAGATTCAAACAAAATGGAACCAAATACCAGAAAACCTCACCTTCTTACACACAAAAAAAGATATACTCAGCACAATCAAGCACTTCTGCATCAGCTGACTGGGGGGGGGGAACAGGGGGGCTGGCTGGATTGCGGAAGTGGTTTGGAAAGGAGAGCAAGGCGAGGACAATGGGGACCTCACCCGGGATTATCAGCTTATCTTTCATAACTGGACTCGGATTGACAGCTCAATCCCCATGCGCCCGGCATCGGACTTCCCTGACCCCTCCCCCTCCCCTCACTCAATTGTGTAGCTTAGCTGGGGTATGGGGGCTGATGGGAAATGTTGTGCAGGAAGAGGTAGCGCTAGTTATTTTGTCTGTCAGGCGGCTAGCAGCGAACTGAAGAGGCATCCTCCTCTCCTGGAATCAAGGGCTGAGTTGTCCTCATCTCGCGATGTGCAACCTACGTTTCAGGGACGCTGGACCCGGCTTCCAGCAGGTGCAGTTCACCGAGTATCTTAGCGAGTTTCCAAAGGGTGGGGGTAGGGGAACGGGAGGTGTTTTGCCTACATGAACTAGGGTCAATCCCAAGAGAGAGAGCACTGGTTCCACGATCTCACGTAGGCAATCATCATAGGCTGCTGGGTAATGTGCGCCCTATTGGAACTCTCTCTTCCATAGGCAGACCCTGCAGCGTGCAGTCCATCCCAGTCTAAAGTCTGTCCAAAGTCTCTTCTTTCAAAAAAACTACCATGTTCAGGGACGATGGACCCGGTTTCCAGCAGGTGCTGCTCCCCACCAATAGATGGAGCCTCCCTGACAGTGCTAGTGACAACTGCTCTTATCAGAACCCCTAGCATTGCCTCGGGTGGTTCTGATTTTGGGGGGGGG